GGTGGGAAGTGCGGGGCACGACTCAGGGCCCGGGAGGTTTCCGGGCGGGGGCGGGGTTCCTGCCCCTGGATCGCTGGTCCCTGTGTCCCCACACGCACTTCGCCGGTCGTGGTTCTTTACCCGGTGCAGAGGGGTATCCCGAGGCAGCAGGAGGCAGAAGTCGGGTCGACGGCCACATCCGGGGACCCATCCCCCACTCTGGTATCCCTGGAATCCTGATACCTCCCCCAGCCTTCACCCCTGCTCTGCCTCCTCCCTAGCCCTGTGAGGGGAGTACAGTCTGGTCCCCAAGGGAAACGTGGTTCATTTGGGGTACATAGTATAGGGAAGAGCCCCCCACAACTCGACTTGGGTCTCTTCTCTTTTCCTTCCCTGTGGGAGTTTTCAGCCAGTGGATTTCAGTGTCTCTGTTCCTATCCCATGGCCCCTACCTTTCAGCTCTGACCTGAGGTCGGGGTGGGGCAACACAGGGGATTCACTTGTCTGCTTTCCCTGCTCCTCCACCTCCCACAGGCACCACCAAAGGGTTCCAGGGATTCAAGGAGAAAGAAACCAGGAGAGAAGACCCTTTCCAGAAGCCATTCCAGTCCAGGCTGCCAGGCGCAGCCTTAGAGGGGGGGGAAAGCTGCAGGCCCTTTCTAAGCTTTGTCTTCACCAGTGGGGTGCCCCTGGGCAACGCCCTTTTTTTCCCTCCTGTGCCTGGGTTTCAAATCTGCAGTGGGAGGAGTCATCTCCTCCCCTGGATCACTGTTGCTCACCTTAAGCCCTGTATGCCCAGACCTCCTGCTAGGAATAGGGAGAAATGTGTAGGACCTCTCTTTAGTCCCTGGAATTCCTTTCTAGGGGCTCCAAAGAGGCAGTTGCCAGGTCCTTCTGTCATTTCATTACTCTTGGCCAGAAGCTTCTCTTTGGTGCACCCACCTGCCCTTGGAAATTGCTCAGGACCCATGAAGGAAAGATTCTGCAGGACCCCATTGCTGTCCTCGGCTTCTAAAGGGAGGGGGCAGACTTGCACCATGCTACGCTGATCCAGGACCATGATAGAATTCTAGGAAAGCTGATTTTATTTAGGGACTGACTCTAAGCAGGGTTCGGATGGTGAGAGCTAGCCCACTGTCCAGGGTCCTTCCTGGGGAGTCAGCAGTCTTCCCTCCTCACCCCAAATCCAAGCAGAGGCTGATGGCCAGTGATCAGGGATGTGCAAGGGGAGGATTCCTGCAGCTAGAGGAAGTTGCACTTCAGTTACCTTTAAGGTTTGTGGATCTCGTACACCTGTATCACCTTATGGGGTAAGGTGTTTCTTGCCCACAGCATGGAAGTATTATGATTAGTAATAGCTCTATGTTACCACATGGTTTACATGTTGCCAGACATTGGCAACAAACTTTCCATGCATCTTCTCACTCTCTGCCAGTTCCCTCCCTTCTCCCATACTGTCTCTGGTATGTACAGTTGTTTTCCATGCTTCCACCTACCCCCCTCCCCCCGCACATTGTATTGATTCACAAAAGATCTTAATTAATTTAAAAACTTTCAATAGCAAGCACAGCTGATATATAAAGCAACACCTCAGTAGGGCTATATAGCTTACTGCAGTCATTAAATAGTTATTAATAGGTATTTTTAAATGCATTTTTTATTTTAAGTAAAACAGTTTTAGTTTTAATAGATCAAAATTAAAAAAAAGTTAAGAGAAATTTGCTTAAAACTTAAAGCCAAGAAAAAGGTTAGGATTCAGTTCAAATAGTAGGTAAATGAACCTATGAACAGTTCAAGAGAAGACAAAAATCCTTAAATATAGAAATCAAAGCATCGAAGAAAATCTGTAATGTTTTAGTCCAAAGTAAAAAAAATTCTATTTTACTAGTTCAGACTCATGTAATTAATCTTTCTTCTATTGAATTTGCAGTGTTACTGTGGTCTGATCTTTCCATTTAAACTCTGAAAGTTAACATTCAACTCCAGACTTGTCTCTACCATGAGGCTGGCTATTCTCTTTGTTGTTTTATGTACTCTTTTTTTTCTGTGTGTCTGACTTATTCTTGGTATAGCACTCCCTTCAACATTTCTTGGAGAACTGGTCTGGTGTCAGTAAATTCTTTAAGGTTTTGTTTATCTGAGAATGTTTTTGTCTTTTTTTCCCATATGAAGGATAATCTTGCTGGGCATAGTATTCTTGGTTGAAACTGTTTTTCACTTAACACTTTGAATATATTTTCCCATTCTTTCCTTGCTTGCATTGTTTCCGATGAGAGATCCAATGTTAGCCTTATGGGATATCCTTTGAAAGTAACTTGATGTTTCTCTCTTGCCAAATTCACTATCTTGTCTCTGTCTGGTTTTTGTCAATCTGGCTATGATGTGGCTGGGGGAAGATCTTCTTGGGTTGATTCTATGTGGGGTCCTTTGTATTTCTTGGATCTGGATTTTTTTTTTTTTTTTTTTGTGAGAGGTTTTTGCTATAAGGCACATGCACTCACCAGAAAGAGAGAGAGACAGAGAGACAGAAAGTGAGAAATCACTCCCCCCAGGGGGGATGGCCATGCCACAATCCCTTCTCCTCCATTTTCCTCTTGGGATCTTGGACACACATGTACATGCACCCAGTATGAGTTTAAGCCACTGGATCCAGGACTCGAACTACATGGGAGTCCAGCGACATAGCCATTATGCCAACTGCTGGTCGCCCTGGATCTGGATATTTCATCTCTAACAATTCTTTTTTTATGATGAGTATCTCCTCTTTCAGATCATTCAGGACTTCCTAACCTCCTGGAACTTGATGTGTCTTTTCTTCTGCATCTTCTGGAATTTGTTGCCTCTCTTCTCTTGCATCGCTGTTAGCTTTGTCACTGTGACTATTTTAAATTCTTTATCAGCTATTTCCATGAGTTCTCTTGTATCCTCTGGCTCCTGGCTAGATTTGGGAGGCAGGAGGGTGAAGTCTGGGCAGAGGAGGGTCTTAGGTGGTCTTAATCCCTCCATACCTTAATTTTTGAAGTAACAATTGGGAGATTCTCAAATAGGAATCCAATGAATCACTCTCCCACTGCTCAGACTCCTGCAGTGGCTCTCATTTCACTCTGCATTAATACCAATGGCCTTTAGATGGCTAAGAAGGCAAAATAACCCACATTCCCACCCCTTGTGCTCCACTCTGCCTTCATCTCTTTATCTTTTCTGCCCTTTCCCTGGCTCACATTCTTGTAATCACAGTCTTTCTTCCTGCAGTGCAATGCATGGGCACGCCCCGCCCAGGGCCTCTGCACCAGCCATGTCTGACCTGGGTGCTTCTTCCCTAGATACCTGCTTGGCTAATTTCATGGTGTACTGGTTTTTGTTAAGAAGTCACTTTCTTGGTAAGGTCTACCTGGACCTCCATATTCAATACTGCAATTGCAACCCTTCCCCTAACCCAGCATTTCCAGTCCCTCGCTCTGTTCCTTTTTTATTTTTTCCTTTGTACTAACAACTTTTCAACACATGGTATAATATCCTTACTTACTGTGTTCCTTGTTTGAGGTCCATAAAACTCTCTGTTTGCTTTGTTTACTGATATATCTTCAGCACTTAAAACAGAGTTTGGCACAGAGTAGGAGCTTATAGAGTGAATGAATGAGCTCATGTCATTTTGATAACAACTGCATGGGGGACACATTGTTATTGGGCCCCATTTTCTGTTTGAGATCGTTGAAACCCAGAGGCTTATGCAACTTGAGGAAGGTAACACAGCTGGTAAATGTTCAAGGA